CCCATGCAGGGATGAGAAGATGGCTCAGTTGGTAAAATGCTTGCTGCATGAGCGTGAGGATCTGAGTTCAGGGTCCCACTACCCAAGTTAAAACTGGATATCACTTGTGAACTTGTAACAGTAATACTGGGTAGGTGGAGGCAGGAGGATCTCTGTAGCTGAATCCATTCAGTGAGAGACCATGCTTCATAAAAACTAAAGCACAGAGTGATGGAGGAACCACTCAACAACAACCTCCCTCCCTCCCCTCCCTCTCTCTCTCCCTCTCTCTCTCTCTCCTTCTCTCTCTCTCACACACACACTCAAATACATAGGCCCAGGTATAATATTTCCAAAGGTTTAGAAGACAAGATGAAATTTTTGATAGAGAGCTACAAACTCTACAAAAAAAGGGGGGATGGGAATCAAGTGGTGGTTCTAGAACTGAGGAATATCATCAGCTGAAATTGAGAAACAGCGAAGAGTTATCAGAGACTTCCCATGTGGCCAGTGCTGTGATTAATACATTACAGGATTCATTCGTGAAGGTGGTCCCTCCTTGCAACCTGATGCAAAGGATTCCTAAGGCGCTGGTCCATGTGGGGGAACACTTTCGTTTATACCCTGCTGTGTCCTTAAAGCTACCTTTCACTGCCTATTGTCACACCCAGCATGTGCCTAGCTTGGGTTTTCTATCTCCCTGCCTCAATAGAGCCCTTTGAAGCTGTTGTCACCAGTGTGACCCAGTGTAGCACAAGGCTCAGCCAGAGCTAGAGCTCAGAGGGAAGTCACTAGGTTCTGTTTGTGTTGACATCCTTAAGCTTTGCTCAGGAAGCAGACTTTGGGCTGAGCCCCCAGAACTGAGAACAAAGCTGGGCAGACATAGATGGTGAGCAGAATTGCCAAGAACACCAACAATAACACCATAAGAAAACAATTGAGTGGAATTGAGGCTAGGAGGTGAGGAAAGAAAAAGAGCTTTTTCCTTCCTCTTCTTCCCCCTCTAGTGGGGAGATGTGCTCAGAATCACCACTGGAAATCCAAGAGCTTCATTCAGTACAGAAGGAAAGGGCCTGGATGAGTAACAGGGAGAGGAGGGCTTGTACATGCTTGCACATGCAGGACAGGGTTGTAGGAGTAGTAGGCACTGTGACTCATCTCTCCCGTTTTACCTGAGGTAGAGAAATGTGTGCAGTCACTACTGTTTGAGTAATCCCCACGTGCCAGAGCCCGGGTACAGTACATCATGTGAGAGTCTATTTAATTCTCATAGTGATCCATGACGTGGCTTCCTTTATTAGAACTGGTTCATGTGTAATGCAACTGAGATCTAGAGTGTCTGTTCACCTTGTCTGGGATAGTTCAGCTCAGAATGTGTGAGAGGATTTGAGACTCAGGATCTGCCCAGGGACTCCTCTGCACACTCGGAAAGGATGTACTGCAGGCCTTTGGTGGAGGTGGGCATGGTCCAGGGAAGAAGGCACAGGTCAAGGAAGTCTGAGAGCCTAATGTTTCAGATCTCTAGAACTAATCTCTTTCTGTTTGAATTTGGGCCAAGGTCAGAGAAACATTTACCCAGCAGCCGTGATGTGGGTGCAATTTTGCTTGGACCACTTTCTGAGGGCAGAGGCTAGCACAAAGCTCCTCCATTCACCTTGGCAAGTCGCTTGCCTTCCTCAATCTTCAAGGATGCTTGAGATAACACTGACTTGTTCTTTTAACAAAAGTTCACCAGTTTGTTAAAAGTTGGCTATTTTGGACATTTATTTTCGTTAAGAAGTCCATAGTTTTTCATTGGTTGTTATGTTAGTAGCTGCCAAAAAGCTTGGGTTTGCAAAACAAAAAACAAAACAAAACAAAACAAAACAAAAAAATCTGTAAAAGCCTGAAAATGGGGTTGTTATGTTAGTAGCTGCCAAAAAGCTTGGGTTTGCAAAACAAAAAAACAAAACAAAACAAAACAAAAAAATCTGTAAAAGCCTGAAAATGAAATGGGAAAAAAAAAGATAGTACAGAAAATTACATAGTAAGAAACAGACAAAATATTTACAGTTTACTGACATTCTTGTATACCATATATAGAAATCACAGCATTTGTAAATATAATGATATTTACAGAAAAATGATGTTCAAGTATTTGTGCCTCAGTTCAACTACATAGCATTTTGGAAACTGTTATTTTTTTTGTCAAATTGTCTTGTATTTCTTGTGTTATTTTTGTTTTCCTATGAATGCATAATTAATTAAAATTTTGAATACGTTTAAGGCATAAGATTAATATCTTGATAAATATTATAAAATTGTCACCACAGTCAGGCTAATTAGCATATCTACCTCCTCATCTAGTCACCATTTTCTTTCCCCTTCCTTCTTCTTCCCTCGTTTTCTCCTTCTGACTCTCTTATTTCCCTTTTCCTTTCCTTTCCATCGAAAGGAAAGAGACCATGAGACTACTTAGCAACCATTCTCAGCAGGTTCCCACGTACAGTAAGTACCACTGTCATTACCATATGACCCATAGATATCCAGAGATCACTCCTCTCATCAACTTGGCTTATGTCAGATTTCTGGGGCAGCGTAGAGACAGAAGGGAGAGAGGCGCCTGACCTTCAGCTGATGCAACTGTGCTTGTTAGCACAGGGGACAGCCTCTCTCCCTGGGAAATTAAGGGATCTACCAGGAGGAAAAGGTGCTGTACCCTCTGGGGGGGGAGGGGGGAGGTGAGGAGCCTGGGAATGAGGAAATTGTTCCAGCTGTAGTAGCCTACGTGTTGCTCCTGCAGTCTCTCCTTCCTGAAATTGTTTGCCCAAGGCCAGACAGACTATCCCTTCTGGAGTGACTGATGACAGTCGAACAAAGCCATCTCTGCTCTCCTAGGAATCCTGCTTTACACCCAGGCACTCCGTCAGCATGCTTCACTCCTATCCATTCCCTACCATCCATCCACGCCTCTGGCAACCATCAGCCTATTGCCTGCTTCTGAGTTTTAATGTGAATTTTATTAATATGTAAGATGCAGCATTTGTACAAATAAATAAATAAATAAATAAATAAATAAATAAATAAATAATAAGAGAGAGCCGGACAGCTTTCAGAAATACTGTAAGACAAGCATGATGGAACTTATGATAGTTGGGTACCAGCTACTTCCCTCTTTCAGCAGGTATGATGACAGCATTATGCACCTGGTGACTAATAAACCTTCCAGAAACCTCAAAGCTTAATTAATTCAGCAGTTTCTGGAAGTTGTAAATAACTAGGCAAGTTCATACCCATGCCCCTCCTTCAGCCAGCTTCACGAAAAAGCTTTTCAAAACAAAGAAATGAGCAAACAGAACATCCCCTGGGCCCTCAGAGGTAGATAGCATCTTTCTACAAGAACTCCAAAAGGATATGTACTTGCCATTTTCACTCTCAAAACTACCATCCAGAGTTATAGCAGCAAAAATGCTCCATTTGTTGGAAAAGAAGAGCAAGTTAAAGACTTGACATTTGCTCTGTAGCCTCTCCGTGAAAGATTTGAGCTCCCCTTTGGACACACCCTGGTTTCCTAAGTTGAAAATAAGGTCAAATGCTGCCAAGAAGTGGTGGTGCACACGCCTTTAATCCTAGCACTGAGGAGGCAGAGACAGGCAGATCTCTGTGAGTTCAAGGCCAGCCTGGCCTACAGAGCAAGTTCCAGGACAGCCAGGGCTATACTAAGAAACCCTGTCTTGAAAAACCAAAAAACAAGAAAAGAAGGTCAAATGCAGCAAGATCAATAGGTGAGGTAGGACGACCTGGTCACAGTAACTGGGTTTTTGGTCCCTTGCCATTAACAAGCCCTATGACCCTTCCTTTTATTAATCTTTCTGAGTGTCTTTCAGGGAGGCTGAGATAAAGTGAACACTATGCTCCAATCCAGCTCTGAAAATGCTACTTCTCCCTTGGGGGACACACAGCAACCCTTCCCCTTTCATAATGTAAAGCAGGAGGCTCCTTACCTTTCCCCAACTGTTTAGAAAATTGCATGAAAGGAAGTTAACGTTTATTAGCATCCACTTGGGACCAATACTTAAGTTCTTCTTCCCTTCTACCTTCAAGGAAGACTCGGTCCTCCTCATTCTGAGATTGAAGAGACATTAATAAGTGAAGTGACTTTCTCAAGGTCACATGGATGGCAATGACAAGTGGCAGAGAACGAGCCTGGATCTGTTGTTGTCCACATGCTTCATCCACTTTCCCCAGACCTCGATTCAGGAAGGAAATCACCCCTAAAAGCTCCCAACTTTCCAGATGTGGGATTGGGGAAGATGGCTGATTTTAAGTCATACCTTGGAAGGGACTCCTTTCTCTAGAGCAGGAGTCAGCAAACTTCTGTGCAACACGTGACCAGTCCTGTGTTTTGTAAATATGCTGTTAGAGCAGAGTTGAGTTTTCTGGCTTACATATTGTTTGTAGGTGCTTCTGCAGCATGGCAGCTGAGCTGAACGTTGTGTTGAGCTTGGATGGTCCACAAAACACCAAATATTTACTATCCGGTTCTGGACATAATGTTTATCCAGAGTCTGGCCAACTGTCCCTTCTCCAAAGAACACAGTAACAGTGACGTGAGACTGTCCTTTGTCCACCAGGCCTTATCACTTGCCTTCTGATGAAAAGGGACATGTCTGCTCACATCTGTTTTGTGGGAGGGAAAAATCAGCAAACAGGCTCAGAATACCTGTCATGCAAATGGGAGTGTCTGGTTTTCATCGTCCTCTTCTTCCCAGGAACACCATGAAGGGGAAATGGAGAGCTCAATTTTGGGGAAATTGCAAAGGGGGAGGGATCAGTTACAACACACTATTGCGACACTCAGCAGGGTTGAAAGTGACAACAGCCAGGGTTTCTCTTTTTGGAAATATGAGGGTTTTTCCGCTTCTGACAGTGGGACGGAATGACAGCAGTGCGGGCCGGTGAATGACTACTTTCTTTATAAGCAGCCACCCTGAGCCTGAAATGGCAGTCTGTAGTCTCTGCTGCCTTGCTGCGGCCTCAGGATGGAAATCTGCAGGGGACGGTATAGTCACCTAATCTCTCTCCTTCTCTTCCTTCTGTTTCATTCAGAGGCAGCCTGCCGCCCTTCTGGGAGAAGACCCTGCAAGATGCAAGCCTTCAGGTAAGTCTTCCCAAGACATAGGTCCAGGGCACTGGATCTGAGGGATGAGATAGAAAAAAATATAGATACTTGATTCAGGAACAGCTTGCTACATACGCAATCTTTAAGGAATATGTTTTTTAAAATGTTCCATGCAGTCAGCTGCACTCACTTTCCCAGACCCCAAGGTGTTCATTAAGTGATAAAAGAGAAAGCGGCCAGGAATGATGCTAGTTTTGGGATCTAGCAAAGAGGAATCTAGCTGCAGCTGGACACAGTCAAAGGCTCAGACCAACAGTCTATACCCTGTGTCTATGTTGACTTGGAAGATATGTCTCGTTGGAGTCCCCAGTTTCCTCATCTGTGACATGATACTGATTTAAGATATACCCCTTGTGTACCTTACCAGGTTGTGAAAATTAACTGATAATGTAACTGTGTTCTGAGACCTATGCTGTGAGAACTGTAAAGTGCCTGAAAAAAAAAGTGACTTAAGTTTGAAAATTGGATAGAGAGCCTAAGGAGATATATCATCAACCTTATGGTAAAAATGGCAGGCCTTTATTTTGATTGAAAAAAATAAAGAGATTGTTGGTGCATACAAGCTGTCCTTGATCCTTCCTGAGAATGAAGTCTGTGTTGAGTCACTTCCCCTTTGACACTGTCTGCTTTGGACCCACAGCTGGAGGCTGGGTCTCTGGATGGGAGTGCATGCGTCCATCCCAAGGAAAGTCTGTCCCACAGAGCCAGAGACATCCTCTTAGCAGCCCCAAGAGAGGTCCCCAGAGTCCTTTTAGCAAGGCTATTGCTTCCCTTCAGTTTGAAAGCTCAACATAGGAGCAAAGGCACAAATGCCCCTTCATATGCAGAGGACTTGATTTGTCCTGGACCCTGCCCTGAGCTCCTGGGCTGCTCCAAGCTACCCAAGGAGTCCATCAGCTCCCTGACAGGTAAAGAGATAACATACAGATTCAAGGTGATGTCACCAGGGCACTGTTGTCACATCTCACAGATGCCTCTCTCACAGCCAGGAAGCCCTTCACCAAGAAGACAGGGAGTGCCCAACAGGCTACTGAGTGAGCTAGAGAGGAAGCTGACAGCTGTCCCTGCCAGAGCCAGAGCAGGTGATTGTCAAGAGAAGGACAGGTTCTAGTTCCAGACTTCTGGGCCTAAGACTCGGAGTACCTTGGATGTGATGTAGTGTAACTCTTGAACTTATAATACTATGATGTAGCCACTAGTTTCAAGTGGCCATTTAAAGTTACACATAAATGCCTGAAAACAGAAGTACCTATTGAGTAGGGTGAATATAGGATGTGTTTGCATTGCCTAAGATTCTATCAGATGGTGATGCTCTAAAGAAAATTCTGCTGAAGTGGTGGGTGTCTATGCTGGGATTCTGGGGTAAGGAGAAAGAAGAGGTTTCTGTTCACCAGCTGTGAGAGACGGACCCATCTCTTATGTAGTATTGGCTTGCACCTTCTCGTCTGCATTATGAACTCTCTAAGGACCACACTTCCAGCAGATCTAGAAGTATATTAGATGATGCTGAGGAACTAGCACATGGTACTGTACTGCCTACTACAGCTAGGCCATTTTGCTTTCCAGAATCTGGGATATTAACCAGAAGACTTTCTACCTGAGGAACAACCAACTTATTGCTGGCTACTTACAAGGACCAAATACTAAATTAGAAGGTAAGTGGATAACAGGGAAGCTAGTGTAATATGGCCATGGGGTCACTTTGCCCTGCTCCTCCAGCTGTAGGTGGGATGTCCTCATTTCCATTGGTTTGGAATGAGAGATGTGACCACCAGAGGGTACACATGGGAGTGGCTTAAAGAGTGGGAAAAGGTAGAGCCTAAGTCACAATGCCCCAGGGACACAACTAGGGGGAACGGGGGCCAAGAGTCACAGCTGCACTTCCTTGGTCCTTCTGTGCTGGTAGACCACCTGTGTTCCTGTGTTATTCAAACTCTAGCCTCACCCTAGGCCAATACACCATGTACATGGCTGAATGACATTCTTTATTGTGGACACTACCCTCAGTGTGTACCCATCTACACTTGGGACAAAGCTAGGTGAGCTCAAAAGAGCATCACTCACAGATTCTCAGGTTTTTCTTTTAGAAAAAGGAAGGCACTGAGTTAGCAGAATTCGAATTTCCCTTAACACTGGAGTTTAAAGTTTTCACATCTCTGTTTTTGATAGAAAGAGGCATTGCCCGTATCTCCTCAATATTCCTCAAGCCATTTCTCTGCTTTCCTGTCTTATTCAGCAATTACAAGACTGACTTTTCCTGTCTTTCTAGTAATCTAGCAGTTCTCCCATGAACATGCTCAAGTATAAGGAGGCTGGGTTTGCTACTGTTACCCCGTAGCAGGTGGGAAAGGGGGCCTGCAAACCCATAGGCTTCCTGGAGCCTACCCATGGGCCTTGTTAGCTTTTTGCCCCTGTCTATTAACAGCATGTCTATAGACCAGGAGGACAGGCTTCCTGGAGAAAGTAAGAGAAGATTGGGAACAGTGTGGAGCAGAGTCTGGGAGGCTGATCCTTAGGGTTAACTAGGTAGAGTGTTTGGTTGGATCTCTGGTGTGGAGGCAGACTAAAAAGATAGATCCATCCTGACCTCAAAATTCTAGTTTAAAAGGAGGTAGAAAATACCCACAGGCTCTCCCTCACCCTGCCTCCTCATCTCTCTTTCTGACCCCATCCTCTGCTCTTCTCCAGAAAAGATAGACATGGTGACCACTGACCTTCACAGTGTGTTCTTGGGGATCCACGGGGGGAAGCTGTGCCTGTCTTGTGTCAAGTCTGGAGATGGTATCAAGCTCCAGTTGGAGGTAAGAATCTGGTTTAGTTATCAAAGCATCATAAAACCCAATGGCTTATAACAACCACAGTGGTTCTCATGACTCTAAGTGTGTACGTGCATGAGTGCGGCACTTTGTTCCTCAGAGAGCAGTATCCTGGGGTCACTCCTCAAGTAATTTCCACAATGTTCTTGTTGTTACTGGATGTCCTCCTGAGGTGGTTTCTCAACCTCTAAGCCTTCATTTCTGTAACTCAGGCAGTAAATACTCTAAGCTTCCTTGTAGCATGATGGCCAACTTCTATGAGAGATTATTCTGGAAAGATGGGCCTCAATGTGAAAGTGCTTATTAAACTTGGACTTACATGAGTCTATTGGCAAAAGCCTGTTACATAGTTAATATGGACTCATTGTAGAAAGGTACCACACAGACACAAGAGTTCAAACTCTAGAAGGCGACATTTTTCATGAAGGACCACCTCTATGACACTATCACCCCTGGGTCTTGTGCTGGGCCTCCTAACCCACTTGCACCTACCTTCTTTTAGCAAGACCATGTACTTCCAATCATTATGTATGCTACTAGTTGACATCCCACAAAGAACTGTATCACTTCTTGACCTATCCAATAGTAATGAGCTGTTCTTGAGGCTAGCTGGACAAACTTTTAACCCAACTACAAGTAGTCACAACCTTTACCAATGGACCAGACCACCTTTTGGGGGTGGGCAGGGAGGAGTGACTATGTAGTCTAAATATAATAAGGATGACCAGGTTATCTTATATAAGACATCCTATAGGCTATGAGACACTGTACCTTTTCTTCACAGCTCTCTTGCCTTGAAAGAATCAGGTCCTGGCCAATTACTGCCTCTCTGGCCTTAGTCTCTGCTGATGGGGCCATGTATTTGCTATACTGTACCATGGCCACAGTGACATGATTTTCAATGTAAGAGATAACAGAACAACCCTTTCTGTGTGTTCTATCTTAAGAAATCTGTGACCTGTATTCTTCGGCCAGGTCTCCTGAGAGATCATGTCTCTACCATCAGAGGGGAACAGCCGTATGAGAGGTATAAAGATAGACAACCAGGACCCGTGGGCTCCCAGAAATCACGTGATTATTTCTTGACTTCCAGGAAATGAACATCACCGATCTGAGCAAGAACAAGGAACAAGACAAACGCTTCACCTTCATCCGCTCAGAGAAAGGCCCCACCACCAGCTTTGAGTCAGCCGCCTGTCCAGGCTGGTTCCTCTGTACAGCAGTAGAGGCTGACCGGCCTGTCAGCCTCACCAACAAACCTGAAGAGCCCCTTACAGTCACCAAGTTCTACTTCCAGGAGGACCAATAGTACTGCCCAGGCCTACCCTTCCCCACTCCCAGGCCAGCAATGACTCCATCATCCGCCTCCTCACTCTGACCATCACTGGACCTGAAGATCAATTTCTGCAGGGTGTACAGCAGCAGGAGGTACAAGAGCTCTGATGACAGATTTCTGCCTTCACCCTGTTGGCTGATCCAATCCCCATGATGCTTCCAGAATGATCTTTCAAATTGGATCATGGCAGGTCCTTGCTCAAAACCCTTTCTCATTGCCTCTGCCCTTTGAGTGAATTCTAGACCACTTGCTTGGCCGAGGTGTCTTCTACTCCCCACACTTTCCTTTTCTTCCATTGTCCTACAGGTCCACAGCCCAGACCAATCAACTCACTTGACAACACCCCCAAAGTGGCTCCCTTACCCGGTTTTATAAACCTCTGATGGTCTATGGAGAAGGTTTTTATTCTCCTGGCTGTCCATTTGGTTTTTGGTGCTTGGGATAAAGCCCACCAGGGCCTCATGTATACTAAGTATGTGCCCTGCCACCAACTATGCTTCCAGCTCACATGGGGAGTTTTTAAGGATCCAGAAAACAGAGGATCTCATAGTTATTTTATTTGGCCAGTCTTATTCCATGTGGGGGAAAGTGATATCCTTCTAGTGGAGGTGATGTCCTTTCTGAGAGAGGCTGGGGATTAGCTGTCCCTACATTTGTGAAATGATGGTAAGCATGGGGAAATAGAAAGTAGGTTTTCCTCTTTTCCTTCTTCGTGTGATGTCCTAAACTGGAAAATTAAAATTTAGTGGACTATATCATCCCCATAATCCCGTTTTTTCTTTTTCTTTTCTTTTTTTTTTTGGGGGGGGGTTCAATAGTCGGAATCCCCCTGTCCAGCCCAAATGCCATCTCCACTCCAAACCCTCCACAGCTGCCTGCAGATGTTCTTCACCGTCACTGTGCAAATGTCTGCCAGGCCCCTCCTGCTGTGGTGAAGGAATCGACTGATCATTTCTTGACCATGTTAGCACTTCTAACCTTGAAACTAGTGTGGAAGTAGCTATGGCCCCTGTCTGTTTGTTTCCTCTGCCAGACCAGAGAGCAGGAGCATTGTGTGTGTGTGTGTGTGTGTGTGTGTGTGTGTGTGTGTGTGTGTGGGGTCGGGCGCTTGGGTCCCGAGAAGCCTGAGCACTACTTTGGCTCTTGGAGGGCACTCAATGACTATGTGTTATATGTGCTGGGTGGAAAGTTTCTTACTCCTCCCTGTGACTTTAGCTGTATTTTACAATAAAACAGTGAAAATGTCTATTTTCTTGGTTGTGACCATGTGCCCAGGCATAAGGCATAGGGTTCTGGGGAAATGGGGAGGCCAAGGGCTCTTTTTAGTTCTATGGATGGCTACAGAATAGTTGTCTCCTCTCTGAAAGCCTTCTTCCTCACTGGTTCTCACTTCATAGGTAACAAGGCATGAAACACTCTTGCCTTTAAGAGTATTGTTGTCCACCATGAAACCCCCAAGTGAAAGCAACCCAAATGTCTGTATGGGTGAATAAACATGCAAGTATCAGATCTGCACCCAACTCAATACTGCACAACAGCAAAGATAACAAATGAACAGTTCCCAGCTTCACCAAACACAACAGATGAATCTTAATGAACTGGCTTAAAACTTACTAAAGCTCAAATATTTCCAGGTCAAGCAGCAGGTAACAAGTTAATAATCAACAAAAAGGAAACCAAACACTCCACTGAGTCCCGTGACCCCGTGGTCATGTTTTAATCTCCTATTTGCCATGTGTGCTCAGAGTGAGCTAGTTAAAACTCTCCGGGGTAGCCGGTGTTGGTGACACATGCCTTTAATCCCAGCACTTGGGAGGCAGAGGCAGCCGGATCTCTCTGAGTTCGAGACCAGCCTGGTCTACAGAGCAAGTACCAGGATAGGCTCCAAAGCTACACAGAGAAACCCTGTCTCGAAAAAAAAAAAAAAAAACTTTTCCAGGTTCAGTTTCTCCATCAGCTAATGCAGAATGAGTTACCACCTTTAGCCTTTGTAACATCCTTCTCTGTTGAGTAGTAATGTGGTTGCCATCATCAGTCCTGGAGGAGTCAGTGCTCAAGGACTCTACTCCAAAGCTTCCTTGCTTCAAGTATCACCCACAATTTGCAGCAGCATCACTTGGGAATAAAACATAGGCTCCTGGGCCTCACGCCAGATGTCCTGGCTTAGGAGCTCACCTTAACCAGACCTCCAGGTAAATCACGCAGGCTAAAGTTTGAAAAGCACAGCTTTCCACAGCTGTGGGGGATGCACGTCTTTAATCCCAGCACTTGAAGGCAGAGGCAGGCAGATCTCTGAGTTCGAGGCCAGCCTGGTCTACAGAGTGAGTTCCAGGACAGCCAGGGTTACACAGAGAAACTTTGTCTTGAAAAAAAGGAAGGAAAGCGAGAGAGAGAGCGAGAGAGAGAGAGAGAGAGAGAGAGAGAGAGAGAGAAGAAAAAAGAAGGAGATGGGGAGGAGAGGGAAAGGGAGGGGAGGAGAGGAGAGAGGAAAGGCGAGGAGAGGAGAGGAGAGGAGAGGAGAGGAGAGGAGAGGAGAGCACTGCTTTTCCAAACTGCTGCGATGTGGAGTCTATGCTCTGGCACACTTACCAACGTGGTTAGCATGATTATAAATTCAGCCTTCCTCTTTCTCCCCAATCCTCCAGTTCATGACTTCCCCTCTTACTGCCTTACTTTGACCTCAAGTGTTTCTTAAGTTCTGAAGGGAACGCTTTAGTGCAAAAATGTCAGCCCAACACATCCAAGGGTTTCTGTCTCATACATATGTAATACCAGCTCTCAGTCTTACAGTGAATGACTGAGTTTGATTTGAAAAAGCAGCATTCCTGGCGCGCAGAAAGCACTCTTCCTTTGTTTTACCCATAAGGTTTTTGCTTTGTTTTCGAGAGCCTATATTTAGGAGGAGAAAATTAGCCACTCCACACATCGTTAGGAGTTCATGGATTATGTCGGCCAACAAATCTACTTTCAGACCAGCTCATAAACCCTGGAAAAACAGGGAGCTGAGCAAGGAAGATACGAGCACCAGGTGGCGGTAGCACTCATGACCCTCCCCCTGGTGAGGTTCCACACAGAAAGAGAAGAGCACAAAAGAATCCCCAGGAGAGTTGAAGAGGGGTTTCCATGCCTAGGGAACGTCTCTCAGAGACACAGCAGGGAATCTCTGACTCATCTCCAAAGGGAAACAACTTTTTGCGAATAGCTTAATCCTTAACATAAAGATATTGGGTCTCGTGGGATCTGTATCTTGGTAACAGATGGGCTCTTGGTGGACAAACACCTGATTGTTTGGGATATGTTTAAAACAACGGGATGCGCAAACATTTGAGTTTGACGTTGACTGGGGTTTAGAACTGTTGGCTTGCACTGAAGAAAACAACCGTGTATGTAGGTGCCAGCACACACAATCCATCTTTGGTTCATTTATATGACACAAGGAATGAGGCACAGATCAGGTAGGCCAGGCTAGGGTAGCATATTCAAGAGATAACCTTTTTTCAATTAGGAGACAGTAAAATGGTACGCCTGGGTTGGGGGAGGCAGAAAAGAACAGAGGGAACTCAGACAAGTGCCTAAGAGGAAAATTGCCTTTTTCCCCCCACCTCTAGGCCTGACTAGGTGTAACAACATAGAACCCCAGAAAACCTGACTCAGAAATCTAAAACCAGGTCAGGTAGAGTGGTGCACCCCTGTGAACTCAGCACTCTGGAGAAGGATCGTGAGTTCAAGGCCAGACTTGTTAAATAGACAGAAATCCAAAAGCAATTCTGAGGCTTTCGAGTTTTCACAATCTAGTCTGTGTCCCTACTCACTGCAGTGGTAGCCTTGGTCAAGCAACCCTGGCTCCTGGACCTCAAAGTCCTCATTTGAAAGGCAGGGGACTGTACTCACCTGAAGTTTCTTATCAAAGCATTCAGTGCCTGGTTTCTGGCTCCACACAGAGATTTTGAATCACTTGGACTAGGGGTCGCTTGAGGCATAACAAAAGCCTCGGTGTGCCAAGGCTGACACCCTCCAGGAGCCCTGAGGTCAGGCTCCCCCAGTTGTTCCTGCCTGGCAGTATCTGTTGACACAAGGCTGGAGATGCCCTCTCACAGAAGGAAAAGGCTCCCTACTAAGTCAGCCGTACATTTCCACTGTGCTCTCAGATAGGCTGAATGCCAATGACAGGGTGCCTGGCCAGTGTATGTAAGGTTGTGAGTTCAAACCCCAGCAGTGAAGGGTAGGAATGAATGCATTGCTGATTCTTCCAAAGCATGAAGTGTACTCCTGTAATGTCACCACTTGAGGGGCTGAGGCAGGAAGATTGAGAGCCTGCATGGAATTGAAAACTGAGATTGCTTTAAAGATAGTGAGATTTGATAATTTCCTGATTTCTCAATCATAAGGTTGGCTAAGATGCTTGGCGTAGCAGCACAGTTTATAGTAAGCACTGGAGAAATCAGGACTGTCAATCACACAGGACTATTTTCTTCAACAGAAGGAAATGAATAGTGCCGGTACCTGGAGTGCTGGAGTGATTTGGTCAGACAACCTGGTGATCCTTTGCTATTGTTAGGAGCCAACTCTCTCCGGAATCCACCCTGGGAACACTTTAGGCCTTAATCCTGGGCTTTGCCACTCAGTGAATTGCACTCACTCTTATGAAGGAGGGCCCCCTAGGCCCTGCCCTGAGCTCTGTTTATCAGCCAATAGAACTCATTCTTATTGTGAAGGTCACAGACACTTTGTTACCTTGCTAGGGAGGTTCAGTGTAGGTATGCCTAAAGCTTTGTTGTGATAATTGCTATGTGGGAACCTTTTCAAATGTTTTACTATGCCTAAACAAGCAAGAAGAATAAAACATGAGGTCAGACAGTGGAGGTTTAGACCCAGTGCCTGCAAAGAAGAGTTTCACCCTTTACCTCGTGTGGATCGTCTGCCCACCCAGCCATGAGGCTTGCGGGGGTACCTGACAGCTTGTATCCTCACCT